TATATATGTGTGTGTGTGTTTATACATAAGTTTAGAAATCTAACCACATATAGCATTGCAGTAGGACAGTCCCACAACACTTCTTTTTGTGTCTCCTGCCTGCATTCACCACCCCCTTTTCTTTGTAAATGAACATCTACCCAAGAGACAGCACATCAGCAACTGGCGTGTCATGACAAGCAGTACGTATTCAGAAGAGCAGAATGACAGACACTGCAAGAATGAACATAAAATTTAAAATTGTCATCTTCAGTGCAGTTGCTTTGTTCACAGGTGTCAGCATATAGAGTTACTCAGGGTGAGAATACTTCCAATTAACTGCTAGATTAGAAAATCTTCTGAAGAGCCCCAGGATCGTTGCCTTACCCATCTTGTACATATAACTGTATGGCTTTGCCTGTGTCATGTTTCCTAGCTCTTCTGCTTGCTCTCTCTTCATTATCTAGTCCTCAAGTTTTGCTTTCCTTTTAATTGTATTATACCTTCCTATTTGTGTTTCTTCTTTTGAGTTCTTATTCTAGGGAAACTATATGATATTTGCATATGTGTGTCTGGTTTATTTCACTTATGAATATATATTCAAGTGGCATCTATTTAAATATGATGTTCTTTGTCATGGAAGTATTTCACTTCTCCATCAAACTTGAAAGAGAGTTTTGCAGGGTATAGTAGTCTGAGCTGGAATTTGTTTTTATAGAGAACTTGAAGTACTCTGCTCCATGCTCTTCTTGCCTTCATGGTTTGTGGAGAGAAGTCGGCCATAATTCTGATGGGTTTTCCTTTGAATGTGATCTGTTTCTTTTCTCTAGCGGCTTTCAGTATATTTTTCTTGTGCTTGATTTCTGGGATTTTGACTAATATATATGTCTCAGTGTGTTTTTAATTGGGTTGTGGTTACTTTGCATTCTGTATGCTTTAGTTACCTGAATGTCAGATTGTTTCCTCATATTTGGAAAATTTTCTGCTATTACTTCTGCCCATATTTTTTTAATGTCATTTGTGTTGACTTCTTCTTTCTCAGTGATACCTATTAGGCTCACATTGTTCATCTTTGCCCCATCTTGCAGGTGATGGATTATTTTTTCTGCATCCTATTTTTAAGAGATCTTTTCTTGCCTTTTCACTAGCTGCACCAGCGTCATTAAGATCTAAAACTCTGTGTTCACTTTCACTCACATGGTTTTGCAAGGTCGTGATTGAGATTTTAAGTTCCTCTATATCTCTTTGTCTCTGCTTCATGTGATCTATTTCTTTCCTGTATTGCTCATTTAAGGTATCCATCATTTTTCTAATCTGTCTTTTTTTATCAATGTCTTCTTTAGCAGCAATTATTAATTCTTTTACTGTACAGGTTTTTTTTTTCACATTGGGTTTCCTCCATATGTTTTTGTATTTGATTCTTTACTTCAGATGGTATGAATTCAGAGATTTCTTTTTTTATTTGAGAAATTAATTCTACTCTGAGTTCCTCCAAACCATTCTGCTGTTGCTTATTTACTTTTGACGCTAGTAATTCATACATTTCAGCTGAGCTAGTGTCCTCTGCACTTGTTCTGGGTGGGCATTGGGTTTTCTCCATATGTTTCTGCATTTGATTCTTTACTTCAGATGCTATTAATTCAGAGATTTCTTTTTTTATTTCCAATCTGAGTTCCTCTATACCTTTCTGCAGCTGTTTCTTTATTTCAGATGCTCTTGATTCATTGATTTCAGCTGTGTGATTCCCAATTTGTTCTGTGCTAGTATCCTCTGCACTTGGTATGGGTGGGCTTGAGGTTTGAAATTGCATTTTGCTCCTTCTCATTGTCATTTTGTGTAGCACTGTCTTCTTACCTTTGTTTTAGAGCTTTGGTGCAGTTATAACCTTAGCATCTACTGAAATTCAGGTGCAGATCTAAAAAGTTTGGATTTATCCAGCTATGCCTGGCTTGGGTCTGGCTGCTGTGCTCAGCTCCTTCCTGCTGCTGCCCTTGGGAATGAACCTGTTGTACCCCTCTGGCAAGATGTTCTGCTCCTGAACTAGCTGGCTGGTTCTGTCCCCTACTCTCTCTGCAGGGATTGCAGCTGTAGAGCTTCACCCCAGGCCTGTATGCCAGGCCTGAGCTGAATCTGAAGGGGACAAGGGGGAGTAGGGGAGAAGGGAAGCTCTGCCGCACACTCAACAGGCCTGGGCTAGGGCTGGATGTGGGGATCCCCAGAAGGCAGCAGATGTCCTCACTCACTTTTGTGGGCATTGGGGGAGGGGCTGCAGCTTTGGGGGGGGTGTTCCAAGGGCACAGAAGTGGGTCTCACTCATGCTTCATGCTTGGGTTTTGACCGGACAGGTCCCACAGACACAGGGTAGCCTGAGGATAAGTTTTAAAAGTTAAAAAAGATAACAAACATCTTAATGCCAACATATTAGGGTTGAATACATATCAGTTATGGAAAATTACATTTCAGTCCCAGAACAGACTTGAGAGATATGCACTCCAGTTTTAGTTTTAGTGTTTTGTTTTTGTTTTTGCTTTTGTATCAGAGATTGCACTCCAGAACTTGCACTAGCTAGGCATGCGCTTATTTCACTGAGCTATCTCCCTGGCCCCAGCAAATATCTCAAGAACATGTTTTGTTGTTAGAGTATGGGAAAAGAAGGGGCTGGGGAGATAGCTTAGTAGAATAAGTGCTTGCCTGGCAAGAGTAAGGGCCTGAGTTCAATCTCAAGTTCTGAAAAAAAAAGAGTATGGGAAAACAGACACTTCCATATAATGAGGATAATTTGGCAACTTCTACCAAAACTAAAAATGCACCTACACTTTGACCAAGAAATTTCCTTTTAGGCCATGGGGCCCCACCTCTGGGGGACACTGAGATAGCAATTGACACTGGGTATGGTGGCTTGTGCCTGCAATCCTAGCACTTGGGAGGCTGTAAACAGGAGAATCACTATGAGTTTGATCTATTACTGAGACTCTGAATATCCTGTAGAACCCTCCATAAAATACAAAAAAAAATCCTTTTAGGAAATTTAATCTAAAAATCTAATCCAAAATGAGGTATAAAAAGCAAAGCTATATTAATATGCTGAGCTGTAAAAGACTCAAGTCAACAACTTCTGACATTGCCAGTCCTACAGATAACCCTCTACTATTATGGACTACTGGACTATATTGGATTATTTTATTTTGATGAATTCACACACCTGAAATATTTAAACGGTAATAGAATATTACCATCTTGGACAAAACTAAACAAAAGAAGGGGGATAAAAATGAAGGACCATTTTGTATCTGTGTATACAAAATAGTTGGGATAGATATACAACTACTTTCTCATAGTTTAATGAGAAGATTTGTACTAATAGTGTTTGGACAGGATATCATGTCTGCATCTTGTACTATGAATAACCACTATGAAGACAACAATATGCAATGTGTTAATATTGTAACTGTCCTACTGACCTGTTTTGAAACTCTCTCATTGCTATTGTTTCTCAATAAAATTAATAAAAATAATAAATAAATAAATATAAAAATAAAAAAGGGGGGAATCATATCTATGCACTGTTCAGAGTTACAGATTTGTTATCTAGAATTGTGCTAGATATTAACAATGAATAAAAAAGGACTCCACTGATTTTAATTTATATATTTTGTAATAAGTATGTAGTAGCTTTGAATTAAAAAATTCAAATCCACACATGCAAAAAGACTTTTAAAAAGGCAGGAATTAGAAGAATGTTTTTAATAGTAAGGTACTGGAAACCAAATATCCATGCATTAATGAACTGAGGTTCATCAAAAAATGAATCAAGCCTGTCTACATAAACTAACATTACCTTCTACTAATATATTAAATTTAAAAATTGGTTATAGGACACTATATAAATGTACTGATGTATATAATAAGAGAAGTTAAAAGAATAATATTGGGGCCGGGGAGATGGCTCAGTGGAATAAGCGCTTCCCTGGCAAGCACAAGGGCCTGAGTTCAATCCCTGGTTCCACCAAAAAAAGAAAATAAATAAAAAAATAAAAGAATAATATTAAGAATTCCACTCTTACTATATTGGAAATAGACATAGTCATATTTAAAGCTTTGGTGTGCAGCTGGTTGTAGCTCAGTGCTAGAGCACTTTGCTAGCATAAGCATTTCCCTAGCATGTGCAAAGCCCTGTATTCAATCCTCAACACTACAGAAAAATAAAATAAAATTTATGTTCCAGGTTTCTGATCCAGACTCTGTGTCTAGAACCAAAGAGCAATTTTTAGACTATTTTTTTCCTATGAAACAACCTGGTGCACTTGGGCAAAACTGCATACAATCCATTTATACACTCACCACAGCTCTGCAAGGAGAGCTTCCGTTTGGTTGTTTTTGTTTCAGATTGTTTTTCTGTTCTCCTGACCCCAGTGGCATGCTGATGAGTCATCTGACAACATCTTTAACCTTAACCCTTGTTATTTATGATCTCTGCCTCCTCTCCAGACCTACACATTACACTGTACAAGCAAAGCAAAGGAAAACAGTAGTCAATCAGAATTACGTTGTCCATTTGGGAAGAGAGAGCAAACAGGCACTAGGGGAAGTTACTTAAATCTGCTAAAGAAACAAATTAAATATTAATCAAAATATAATGTCATCTCTCACATGGACAATAAGAACCTAGAGAGGAACAGGTATTAAGAAAAGCCACAGGTGTGTCTGGGACACCTCAAAGTTAGGACTTTTCTTTGCACACCTGAGGCCACCAGCAGTGGCTCTGCAGCTGTCATTATGCCACAGAATGAATATACTGAATTACACTGTAAATGCTATGGGTACCGCTTGGATTATAATGAGAGAAAGAGAAAGAAGGAAAGTCAAGAAGTTTATGAATGTTCAAAGAAGGCCAAAAAAAAAAAAAAAAAAAAAACCAGATTGCTCTGAAGGCAAAGCTCTACCACAAACAGTGCCATGCAGAGAAAATACAAATGAAGATGACTAT